AAAGCCTGATAGTTATTTTTTCACCAGATTGGAATTCACATCACAAACATCAAAACAAAAGATGCTGTATTAACTACATTAAATTATCTCAAATTTACGGTGAACGGAAACAAATGTATTTTTGCACGTTCAGAGCTAAAATGTGTAGGTCTTAACTGAGCTGTAAGACATCAGCCTGATCCTGAAAAGTCACGAGCCATATAAATTATAGGAAGCCCTAAAACTAAGACTGCTATAAAGAGCGCATTAGGCCTATTTAACTATTATCTTGATTGCATAAAGAATTATGCAGAAATAGCTCGCCCGTTGATAAAAAAAGAAGAGACTGATGTTGAGGAAACAGCATTTCAAAATCTGAAACGTCGACTATCTGAAGCACCAAAACTGCTCACACCAGATCAGGAGGGACCATACACCATCTAGTGTGACACTACTTTCTATGGGGTTGGTGCATTTTTATCACAAAGACATATCAAAGGCAATTTTCATCCTATTAGCTCTGCTAGTCAAAAATTTTCAAAAGCTCAACCGAGCTGGTCGGCTACTGAACGTGATGCTTATGCCGTTGTGTGGTCATTAAAAAGCGTTCGAGTGTTGAGTGCTTGGATCATGTATCGAGCTCATCGTTGACCATAACCCACTATTATATGTGCACACGTCCAAATTAGAGATTGGCAAATTCTGCCAAATTAGAAATAGACAGTGGCAGTTCAACGTCAAAATATTCAGATTTCTCATTCCTAATGCACAATTAAAAAGTGCTCATAGTCTTCGAAGACTGGTTCATGAATGAACTGTGTGTGAATTAAGTATGAACTGATATACTTAAAACTTTGCACTATTTTTCTTTTGTTCCGGAATCGTACGAGAGTTACTTTTAGTCTATTTTGTTTTTGATTTAATGTTTTGTGATATCTCGAAAGCATAATTTCGGTGAAACATTTCTCTTCAACGCTCCGTTAAAGGTAGTTTGTAAATGCGACACAAGTTTCAATTGCAAATGTTTTATATTTATTAAAATAGAAGTCAGAATTTATTGTATTACCCTATTGTTTTGACCTATTTTCCTGAATGCTGTTTAGCGAAGGCAGTTACTACGCTGTTAGTATCAGGTCAGTTTCGGAATAAAACTAGAAATTTTTGACTCCAGCGTTTTTATGAAACTGGTAAAAAAGATATTGTTTCGATTTTTGTACGTAGATAAATCATTTTAGTGCAATTATATGTGAAATTGTTTTATTTTTCTGTGTAACGTAACATAAAATCTAAAAGAGATAAGCTATGACGGAAAAGTAAGAATGGTGGCATTTAACATTGAGTAAACGGATATCTCGGTTATTTGGCGAGATATCGCTAAACTGGCAAGGGTTTGAATGACTTATTTTGTATCCAAATATAGCAGAAAATCACCAAAAGTCACCAAATTAAGCGACCATTTAACGACATTTTAGTCCGGTCTCTTTAATCACCGTAATGAGCATTGTAATTAAATAAATGTAATTCATCAGTATATTAGCTGCAACCTTAATTCGACCCTCAGTTGCTTTCCAATAATTTCGAGAAGCAGAAAGTTCTAAAAATATCTCGGTGGCCGGTTGAAAACTATTATAAGGCCAGAGAAGAGAGAGAGAGCATCTACTCTTAGTTGTTTAGTTAGTATTCTTTCGAGTTGTTCATTCTGCGTGAGATTGGATTAGCTTTCTATTTAGATGCGCTTTGCATTGAGTTGTGTTTAACGTTCTTAGTAGTTTGAAGCGGAACTACTGATTGCACTCTGTGATCATGTGAATACCTGTAATATTCTGTGTTTTCCACAGAAATACTCGTACAGTATTTCTGTGGAAAATTCCAGAACTTAAAAGTGTTTCTATTAATAAAAATAAATTTTATTAACCTGCCATTGGACCTGTGTGCATTCAATCTGTTATGAAACCGTACGCACGCAATATATTTAAAATTTCTCTTGAGAGGATGGCATTAGGAAATTTCGAGTTCCTATTACTCTGATACCAAGCTATTTTTGGTCAAATTTGGATGAAACTTTATTAACTGATATTGTCATCAATATTGCTTAAAAAACATTTATTGCCTTCTGCCCTGTCCTAATTGTTCGTAAGCTAATTTTCCATTCGTTAGACGCGGAATTAACAGTAGCAGCAGATGCGATACTATGATTTATTTTTAATGTAACAATAGATTATAGTGTTCAGCCTTTATACCATAATATACCAACTTATGTCAACAATCATTCTTTATGCAGCAGCAAGTACTTGTTTTTAGAAAGCTTTTACAATAGATATGATACCCACATTCATTCTTTATGTAATAACAGTTACTGTAGTTAACTTTGGGAGAAAATAAAAGAGAAATTTATTTGTAAAACTAAATATTGTTAAAAGGTGCAGGAAAGACGCACCACCTGAAAAGTGAAAGCTATGCATAATTGAATCTTAAACTGGCATTTTCAATAACGAGAGACCTTGCATGAAATTGTCTTTCGAAATGCAATTTTTATTTAAAATAAACTCATGGTGTAAATTCAAATTTTGATTAATTTGATGCTTAGATTTTTGTTATAAACCCTAATGCTACCAGGATTTTGCAAGATTTAAGCGAATATTCAATAATTCCTTCAGTATAAAAAAGGATTTCAACAATTTCAATAATGCACAGTTCATTAGCCAGATTTTTGTGTGAAATCCACAGTAGCATACAATAGTATACTAATATTCTTATTTCATCAAGTAGCAGTCATAAATTTCTGTTTGGAAATATTTTACTAATAACACCTGCAAGAAATTTTGCACAGCTCTGACTTTCCACGAAGAAAAATTTTAAATTTCTTCGGAAATAAATATCCATATTCACTTAATTTCTCTAAAATTAATTTTAGGGAAAATGAAAATTTTATAAAAACTATTGCAATACCCAGTTATAAAATGAGATGGTGAAATAGGATCAGGTTCATTTGGTTCATTGTATACATAGTTAGGTTATAGGTCTAGAATTAATAACAGGTTCACCTTCAACTAAAACAGTATACAGTTCTTCATAATATAAAGAAACTTTACCTAAGATACGTTTTAAACAAGTTTTTACAGATCTTACGAAACGTTCCCAGAATCCGCCCCACCAAGGAGCACCTTTTACAATAAATTTCCATTCAAACCCATTTTTCCCAAGGAAATTTAAAACCTTTTCATCTTTACATAATTTATACAAATATTTTAATTCACGATCAGCAGTTTTAAAGGCTTTAGCATTATCAGAATAAATAACTCTACAAATACCCCTACGTGCAAAAAATCTATGCAAGGCTTGAATGAAACACTCTGAACTTAAATTTGATAACAATTCTAAATGGACTCCTCGAGTCACTGCACAGGTAAACAAAAAAGATATACACTTTTGCACCATCTTTTAAATACAAAGAGCCAGCGAAATCTATGCCACTTACCTCAAATGGTTGAGCTTTCTCCACTCGGTCAGCAGGAAGAGGAGCCGATATCTTGCGTCCAGCTTTAGCATTATATTTTTTACAAAATCTACAATCATGTGACACAGATTTTACAAAACGTCTAGCTTTTAAAATCCAAAATTTCCCTCTATTAAAGGCTGTTCAAATATAAATAAATCCCAATGTTTTCATAAGTTTATATTGTAGAGACATTAGGCTATTTCGAATCAGGAGACATGAAATATGAGCAATACCCTCGTTAGGACTCGAACCACGGACCTCTCGAAGACGCGCGAGTGACCATTACACCCCGAAGGCATGCTAAGAAGCCGCAGAAATACTTTATCTGATAAATCTACAGGCTGTCTCAAAAGGTCGTTGCCAAACTTAACATAATCGTCTGTCATACCATGTCAAACAAAATTTACAAAGGAATTTGTAAACCGCTAGAGGCCAGAGTCGGCAATCGCAGAGAGGAAGAAAAAAGGATGTCGAAAGAGGTGTCAATATGACTTTTATTAAAGAACATGCTTAAATTAAAGAAGATGTTCAAAAGTCTTTTCATTCGCCACAATGCACACTTCACAACATCAGCACATGCATTCACAGACCTGTTCAAAATGAGCAGGTGTGTCACGGATACGTGCCGCCGCTTCCACGATCCTGGCGACGAGATCCATGTCCGATGTTACGGTCGTCTCGTACACCATGGACTTTCTGTATCCCCATAAGCATAAATCCAAGCTAGTCAGGTCGGGGAATCGCGGTGGCCATGCGACTGATCAGTCTCTGCTAATCCAGCGATCAAGATTATATGTTATCAATGTATTCCCGCACAGTGCAGCTAAAATGTGCAGGCACCCCATCATGCTGAAACTAGATTTTTTGGCTTTTAGCCGCTGGGACGTCAACCACCAGGTCCGACAACACTGTTTCCACAAAGTGTCCATAAAGATCTGAGTTAGTAAAGCGATTCATCCTTCTACTGCAACGCCCTCTCCTGAAAATGATCACACTTTCCACTCTTCCATAAGCCTGCAAACATTGCCCTCTATAAGTCGCCATTCGCATTTTCGAACACAAGTTCCTATGTTAATCTTGTTTGGAATGGTATGACAGACCAGATGTTAAGTTTGGCGATGACCTTTTGAGACACCCTGTGCAGACGGCTTGTTTTAATTATTCGGGTTTCACGAGGTTTTTATTCTGGTCGGTTAGGTTAGGCTAGGTTATGTTAGAAAAGATTGGTTGATTATGGCAAAGCAACACAAGAACTATTTCCTAAGGGAACGGATGCTTTTGTGGATATTTTTGTAAAATCCAGTGGCTCATGTTCACATTACAAATATTAAAAAACCAGAAAATGTTTATGTTTGTCGGTTTCTCTTTATTTATCATGCAGTTTGGTTGTTTGACAAATCTTGAAATCGAATTCCAAACCTCTTTTATCAAAAAGTATTTTTTGAAGTTTTGCACATACGCATATTTGCACATACGCGTAGCAAACGAAGAAAATAAGCTTGTACTCTTTCTTTTCTTACAGAGCTCAAGACAGCATTTTCGATGCTTGATAAAAACCAAGATGGACGGGTTAATTTGAGCGAAATGAAAACAATGCTCTCTAACTTAGGAATTCGAATGGAAGATTGTGTTGTTGAAGCTCTTATCAAACAAGCTAGTGAAAGAGGTACCACAATTCTACGTATTCTATTTCTTTTCTTTACATTAATTTCTTCTTATCAGCTGTAGAGTAGCCTTAGTATTCTAAAGTAAAACTTTAATTCTGCTTAACATATTACAGCGCCCGAGAATGTGATTTTGTTTTCATGACACCATTCTTTGAAAAAAAGAAAAAGAATTTTTAAATTTAATGTAATTTAGAAGAAATAAGAACTCTGACTGTATATTTCGAAGGTATAGATCCTAATTTAAGATACAGTCCTTCGTGTAAGATAAAATGTAAGCTTGTTGCTACTTCAAGAAAACGGAGAAAGAGAAAAGGATTCTGTATCACAAACGCAATAGGTGGAAAAAATATTTATGTCAAACGTATCCCTTTATGTGTCGGCGAGTTAACGCCTGTACTAAATTCTGGCTGTGGACAAAAGAAGCAGCACGAAATATTAAAGTCAACTTAATTTCTTCACCGTTGTTGAGTTTAATTTAAATAATAAAACAAATTAAAGTCTTCTTAACGCAGCAGCTTGCTTAAAACCTGCAGTATACTAACTGGGTTCTAGAAAATCTACTCGAAGCTCCAATTGGTCGGAAAGACAAAGCGCAACTAATTTACATCATTTAACAACCGTGCCAATGTTAGACATTCACGTCTGTTCTGATCAGCTATTTCCTTTCTTGTAAGCAAGCAGCAACGGCGAAGATAATAACCAAGTTTCTATTATTAATTATACCGATTAGGATTATTGTCATTGCTTTAAACTATGCCGATTACCACAAAATCTGCATAAACCTCTGAATTGAGCAGGGGGCGAAATGAAACGTAAAGGAAAGAATCAACATAAATTTAATTATTAATTAACTTAACTATCACATCTTTATCATTATCTTAGAGGCTATCTAGAAAACAATATATTCCACCTCAAGCAAAAAACTTTAACGATAAGAGACTGGATAAATTATACAGCAGATCTCGAAAGTGTTTTGACAAAAATATCGCAAGGAACTTCTTGATGCTTTACTTGCCAATGCCAGGTGTAATATGGCAAGCGTACAAAACCATAAAAATACAGCGAAATGCGTTAAACATTTTCTTATTGCACTAATGCTAAGCCAAAAGTATTTTGACACAAAATATTGTAATAGTTAATACAGTATATCTTTTAAAAATTTGGCTTGACAGTCCATCTATTTTCAAACTAGCGAATCATCTTTTGAGCATCGATTCAGCTGTCATAATAATTTTGTTTAAGGAAGCGGGTCCTACTCCTTTGCCTCAAATAAAGCGCTGATATTTGAATAATTACAATTTCTAATTCTTCTGCCAAACTCTTTCCACAAGTATACTGTAGGATTTAACTACGACATTGACGTGGGTCTTAGAAATCTTCTATACTCTTTCACGAGTTTCAGCAGCGATAGGTGTCATTATCTTGCTGTAAAATCCTTTTGTTGGGTAAGAAGGGTTAGTTCTGTTTTCAGAAGTTATCATTTGCTTTTGAAACATGTGCCAATTTTATAGACCAAACTTATCCATTATACGAAATTAAAGTCCTTGTCGAAATAATCTCCATACTTTATATTACTATCACTGTGCTTTACGTAGGAATAAAATAACTTGGACTATTTCTTTTGCTTTTTGGACCATTTAGATACTTCGTGTTCTTCGAAGAAACCTAATTAAATTTAATTTGAAAACTTAAATGATCTGTTCTCATAGTCTACTTCGCATGCTGCTTAGAAAACCTTAATCGCGCAGTTTTGCAGATACAAAAAAATTGTTACTCAGAAAGAAACCTGATAATTTTGTTTCTTTCAAACGAAGTTTTCTAAGAGGAACTTCAATTTATATCTTTGATTTTATTCAACTCAATTCATACTTTTTATTCTGCATCAAGATGGCCGATAATCAATCACATTTTCATTATTCTTCTGAAGTTTTACTTTTCAGCCCCATGCTTTGCTTTATTGTATCCTATTTTCGTTATTTTATATTACGGTTCCGAAGATTTTTACTTTTATTTAACAGTCTAATATTACAAGAAACTGGATTTTGTTTGAGCCTGTCCTTGAAAGCTTTAATACAGAAGGTTCAAGATATTGAAGTTTAGCAATATTTCTTCCTTTTTTTCTAATCTTATTTTAATTCTAAATGATATCGCTTTCTGAAAAGATCGAAAGTAATATAAAAAATTATTTTTTCACGCTTTAAACTGTACGTAGTAAATAATTCCAGTCTTCTTGGGGAAACAAATTTTAGTGAAAGGTTATATGTGCTACGAAGCTATACTGAAATCAAAACTACTCCTCTTTTAGAAAACACTTAGATGACATTATTTAAATAACATGTATATTACCTCTTAAGATAGTTATATTTAATCTGCATTAAGTTATGCTATGAATTTCTTTCTGTGAAAAGTTGTTAAAATCTCATGTTTTATCTTGACTTATCTTTTCTGGTACTGATGATTTTAACGATGTTCATTTTAGATGATGGTCTTGTAAGTGAAGAAGAATTTTTGAGCTGGATGGCCAGCCAAGAAGAAATCGGGGGACACGACGATGATCTAATGGAAGACTTACTAGCAGCTTTCCGAGTCTTTGACAAAGATGGTAATGGGTACATTACGAGGGTAAGTTTTCCGAGAGTATGCAAAGAGTCAAATCAACTAATCATAGCTGTTTCTTAGTACAGCGAAATCTCGAGATACGAGTTTAATTTGTTCCAGCAAACAAACTTCCCCATTGAAAATAATGGAAGTCCAGTTAATCCGTTCCGCAACCTCAAAAATCTCATTATCATTTCATCTTCAGTCGACTTATCTGGTGCTTTTCGAAGAAGGTCCAAGTACAGATTCTTAGCCTTAGCGCAAATGATAGCTTCCGACACCGAATCGCCTTTTAACTGCTTCCCATTAATCCACATTAACAGCTTCTCAACATCTTCTAGGAGTTTTCAACGGTGCTTGGAAACAACCGTAACTCTTTGGCCACATCAAGTTTCTTAATTTCTTCCTTCTTCTTCAGAATAGTGCAGATCGTCGATGTCGAATGGCCATAAGTCTGTGCCAGTTCCATCACTCATACACCACGCTTATGTTTATCTACGATTTCTTTCTTAATTTCAGCGGCTAAGGCTTCCTTATTTTTCTTGGCAGCACTATCTGAGGAAACACTCTTTTTGGGAGGCATAGTGAAATAATTATTTTCACGTTAAATATAAAAAACAATTAACTCACAAGTGCACAGCACTGTAAAAAAAAATCTGTAAAGTTACTAAGAAAAGTCGTGGAAACTGGGATGCCATGGATTATTTGAGTAATAAATAACAAGAATATTATTCGTATAGAGAGATTACACCTGTAATCTTTACAGATGTTTGACATGTAATGTTACAGGAAGATACTCCTGTAGGACATAACAAAATTTTTGTATGTTAATTACCGAAGCATGTATCTGTAAAGGTTACAGATCTTTTATCAATAATGTTGCAGGAAATTATCGTGTAAGTATAACATGGTTTACCATATGTGATGTACCAATGTAAACATCTGTAAAGTTTACAAGAAATAATAGTGTAAGTAGAACGTAATTTTTGTATGTGAATTACTAAAGGGAATATTTGTAGATTACTAGTGTCCTGCTTGTAAGGTTATTGCAAGTTATTATGTAAGAAAAACATGTATTTTCCATGTGAAACGTTAAAGGATATATATGTAAAAGTTGCAGATAATTTACTTAAAAGTTCTTCCAAATAATTATGCATATAGAAAATATTTGTCTTATACAAAATACAAAAATGATGTATTCTCAAATATTAAATATTTTAATTGTAATTTACTATAAAATAATTACACATGTAGAAATATGTTTTATGTGAAATGTCTACAGCTACTGCTTGTAACAAAATATGCTGCATTATTTATTTGTGGGGAAAGGGAAGTTATGTAACTTTAAATATTATTAAGTTTTTTTAAGGAAAAATACCTTAGATTTTCTAAAAGAGATACAACATTTTTTCTTTCAAAATATTCCCAATGTTAAAAAGACGCCAAATTTTATGTTTTTATTATTCTGCATTACTTTCCTTTATTGAATTTTGAGAATCTCAAAATTACATATGCATCATGAAATAGCTGAAAAAAAAAAAACTTGGTGTATTAGACTAATGGTTTTTTGGCAATAAATTAGTAATGTTCTAGAATTACTCCGTGAACACTGGTAGTTCGGGCCGAGGTTCAAATCCCGCGAATGGGCTGGTGTATGGGTATTTTCATGGTTTTCTCCATGTGTAACATGTATATAAGTCAGTTTCCCTTCGAAAGTCCTCCACAAAGGCATTTCTCCGCTTAGGCAGATAGTTTAGTGTGCTTTGCCATACTTAAATAAACTAAACCAAATCATTATCCTATACCCAACAGGTATCATCTAAAGAGACTGCAATGGATATGATACAGTAAAAATATTTTAATGAAATTGTTTCAATAAACAATTCTAAATATTTTTTCAAATTCTAAAAAAAAATTATTGATGTAACTCAACAATGAACTTAAATTCAGTTATCAAAGCTATCCAAATTATTTTCATGCTTAATTGCATTATTCATTTAAATTACAAACATATAATTCTTTTAGGCATAAATGCTTTTTAAATCTCTTCTGATACTAACCATTAATTGAAATAATAGATTAATTAATCGGACAGTTGTACAGGGATTTTCCAGATTTAAAACTTTATTAATAAATTACATTCATCTCATTGAATACAAAATTGAAGAATTAGTTAGTTCTAAATTAATTTTTCAAGTATTCCTTCTACTAAAACATTATTGCTACAGGCAGCCAGACAGTAAGCTGAAACACTAGCATTTGCTCTGATTTAAATCCTAGAGAATGGGCTGCCTGTGTAAATGTTTGTGTAGCATAAATATAAACCAGTTTCCCTTAAAATATTCCTTTCTTTGGACAGATGGCCCTCTCTTGCTTTGGCATATTTCAAATAATCAATTCAGCCATTTAATGTAGGTATAACTTCCCAACTTCGTCCCAAATTCTAACTGAAAAATTAAACAGAATTCCTCTTAATACTGTGTTCTATAATATATGATGAATATAGAATGATTTTAAAAATTTAAGGAAGAAAATGTAACTTATTTGAAAATGCCTTGATCCTATAATTACATTTTTCTCTGCTATGCCTAGAAAAATTAAGAAAAGTAGACTTAAGAATGAAAAAAAAACTGAAGATAAAGAATTCAGCATTAATAATTGATATGATAGTAGTAATAAACTAAAAAATTTTTAATGAAAATTGATAATGCATAATGGCTCCTTAAAATTTTAATTTTATATCCTACTATTAATGGAACTAATTTATCACTATAATCAAAATTGACTCAGATTTTTTCTTTAAATGATGTCAAAAAACACGATGATTATTTCAAAATTCCTGTGGATGATTAATTGTTCTCAAAATTTTCTATTCATTTATTAAATGCTTCAGATTAATGTTTTTGTTATCACTATTTCAAACGACTTTTTAAATCTTCGGGAAAAATGTTTAAATCTTCATTCAACAAAAATTATATTTTAGATAGATTTTTATGGAATAAAAAAAAATTCTGTAAGATAATATTCATTCACACAAGATATTAACTTAGTATTTGCTCATTACTTTACAAGTATTCAATGAAGCCTTTTAGTGTAACATACAGGTTACTAAGGAACCATTTCATTTTAATGTAATATTCCATAATCATATATTTTATTTCAAAAAAAATATCATATTTGAAAATATTGGATATTGCAATGCATTTCACTCCTAACATATACAGCTAGCGTGAGATCTATAATAACAGTCAATATAATTCATAAAAATGAATTTCGTTATGCATAACTACATCTTGCAAGATTAGATTTAGTTGACAAAAACTATTAAAGATAATATAAAAGATCTATTTGGTTCCAGCAATTAATGCAGAAATGAAATACTTTTAATACCATATATTAGTGGTTCTCAACCATTTACCTTTGCTAGATCATGCCTCTCCTCCTTACCCAAACTTGAAAAATAGATATACACTTATTTTGATTTTATTATATTTTAACGTTTTTATAAATTAAATAAGGAAAAAGGTATGGAGAAAATGTTGATATATACAAAAACAGATCTTATATTTAAAATACACAGAAAAAAAAAAGACTATGCTACAATGAATCTTCTATTGTAGATCTGAGAATTGTACATACTGTGAAAAATGAATGTGACAAACAAAAATTGATTTAATTTTGCACACAATTCTTTTACATGCATATCAGTGAACACTGGGGGGGGGAACTCTTTATTCCAATACACAGAATATAGAAACAAAAATAGGTTATTTTTATTTGAAAAACTATCCAAAAGGAAAAAATAAAATAAAAAAATAGGTAAATTATATTATTGTTATTTTTATTAATCATATTGTGAAGGTGCAGTCCTCCTCTTCTTAGGATTCAAAGCATGGCTCCTAAATAAAGAAAAAATCACATTCGTTAGAAGTACATAAACATATTCTAAATTTGTTATGTGACATTTTAATTCAGAATCTCTTCATAATAATTGCATGCACTTGCACATATTCCAAATGATTTAAATCTTTTTTTAATTAAATAATTAAATTGCAAACAAGATTCCTTTTGTCCTTTCATGAAATCATAAATTGCATGTATCATCCATTTTTGAAGCAAAAAGCAGTACAAATTTAAATAATTCATTTTGCAGAAATAATTTGAGGGTTATTAGATATTTACTATAATTTATTGTAATATAAAATAAAATTGTAAAGTAGTTTTAATAATGATCAGATTTTTTTTAAGATTAATTTCTCTAGAATTGAAATGTATAAGGTAGCACTTCTCAATCTGTGGATCATACAGTTTGCCCTCGTGGTCCTCCGAAGTTTCCAAAGGAGACAAAAAATTTAGTTGAAAAATCTCAGAGTTTAAAAAGTTACATATGACAATCATCTATCACCTTTTCTCGTAAGATAGACATTTATGAAATTTATTATTGGTTACCCTACTTACAGACTTCCCACTCAGTCTTAGCAGTAAAAGATGGATTAAAGCACTATAACTGTGGTACTTACCACCATATATCCAAATATACTATCATATATCCACTAAGACTGTGGTCTTACCATCATATATCCAATATAGAAGAGCCATGCAAGAATTACAATCATCCTTCTCATTAATAATCTTGAAATATTAGAAATATAACTTTTCTTCAATGGACTTAATTATAAAATATAACGGATTTTAATTATATATTAAAAATATAAGTGTACTAGTAGTAATATATGCTAAAAAATTGCTTTCGAAGGGAACAGCAGCAAGGCGATTCACAAATTATGATAATTCACATAATCTCTATTCGAAAAAAAAGTTTGAGAAACGCTGAAATAGGAGAATAATTAAATTATGGTTAATACTGGTAAATTTCAGCCGTATGCTTTAAGCTTGATGATCAACATTAAAAAATTCTCAGAAAGTGTTAGATCAAAAACTAATTTTCCACATAAATATGAAAACTTATACGTAACAGCATTTAATACTTAGCTCACTGGCAAATATACAAAATTTTGAAATGCAAGTATATATATAAGGCCAATAATATAGTTATCAACAATTAATGCATGAACTTCAAAACTTACATAATTAACAAACACATGAAACAATGATGTTACATGCATTCATCCTCTGAATTAACTAGTCAGTTTGGGTATTTTCTATCTTAGATGTCGCAAAAAATTGATCGTGGATTTAATATTTTAAATGTTCCTCTCATAAGACATTTTAAATACTTGTATTTTTTTACATAGAGTGTCATCTTTAGTTTTACAGATATTCATTTGTTCGCTTATTACAATTAAGTTTTACAGACAGAACAGATGATACTGATACATTAAGTGGTATTTAAGACATAAACTTACTTACTGGTACTTAACCAGTTGCTAGAAAAATTTACATAGTGAAAGACAGGGTACAAAGTCAGAATCTGAAAAACTTATTGACTTACACTAAGCTATTTAATGCTTGAAATATTTATGATTAGATAATATCTTTTACATCATTAATATCTATCAGTGATATTGATATACTTTAATTATACAGTAAAAACCTCTCTATAACCTTCCATAATTTTGTATAATTTTGATATTTAATGGAGGTGGTTACTTCACAAAGCATGATTCTCAGTGATAATTAATATCAAAGTTGTATCACCAGAATACTTGACATCGTCACTTAAACAGGTATAGCTTGCTAAGGGGTTTTTCTGTACTTCAAACAATGGTTTACTATTTTAAAAAGTATATTTTTCTGACACTGTTATTTAAAAAGTGTATAACTCCTTCTACACTTAAGCACAAAAATTGATATTTTATGCTTAAGAGTCATTCATTTAGTTGTAACTTACAGGAAGATATCTTAAATGCCTAAATGTTTTAATTTTGAAAAACAACAGTTAGAGTATATTGAAGGGTGCTCCCTGTATTATCAAAGGGAGCGCAAGTTTGTGCAATTCTCTGATGTTTTCTTAAGTGAAAATAGGTAGAGGTGTACATGGATAAAGTCAAGGGAGTGCGCGATGCCAAGTTTTGTAAAATTCGCAGATTTTTTTTAAGTGAAATAGGTCGATGTGTACATGGATACCGAGTATGTCAATCTCTTGTCTTCGTGTAGCGGCGGTTTTTGGCACACAAATCGTCGCTAACAAGCCAAAAAATAACATGGTCAAAGAATTGCAACAAACTCGGTATCCACGTACTGCCAAAAAATCGCCAATTTTGCCAAGGGGCACCCATAAATATGCTTTTACCAAAACAAGCTTTAAGGCATACTGTCAATTACATTTAAATTCCAGTGATTTTTGCAACACCAGTTTCAAATACTCTAAGTATATGTTTGCATACGTTACATAACTTTTGCATCAGCAAAATTTATAACTTAAGCAAATATGAACTATGGAAAAACAATCTCTGAGTTTGCCTTGACCCTTAGATTTATTAAATATAGCGACACTTTATCGCGAAATAAATTCGATGTCCGAAAGTACGCGATGATTTATTTAATCTGGTTTTAAATTGGATCCATTTTAAGTTTGGCTATATCAAAAACTTATATTGTTTTTGATATAGCTATCCAAGAATACTTACCTCAGTATTGTTGGATAGTGAATATGTAACACTTTTTCATTCTTGAAATATATACACATGACAGGAATTGGAATAAAAATTTTAGGTTTTTCAGATGAACTCATAGATTGAACTAATTTGTTGAATTTTATCAAGTAGTTCTTAAAAATAAACCAACGATTAATTAAAAACCAACTGCAATTCAAATGGATACTCTTTGTCAAAAAGGAGCAGTAGAACTTACTTTTAAACATTCACCAATAAATAGTTTTCTGAATATATTTTTTAGCGTAACGGCAGTTTCAAACATAATAAAGAGAACAAAATTCATTCTAATGAGGATAATTTTGAAAATAATTTACATTAAAATATATCTCAAGAGATTTTAAATGAAAAAGATGGCACAAAAGGAATTATTCTAAAAAATACATGTTTATCTCAGATATTAGAAGAAAATTTGGCATTGAGCTGAGTATTGAAATTAATATATGCAACTGACGTATCATTACTTAAATTTCCATGATTTGATATTGATGCTATAACTATTAAATATTAGCAAATGCATTTTATAATGAATTTTGCACCAAAATTTATAGTAAATTTATATGTAAATTTACATTGTAAGTACTAGATGAATGTTGTACCATGTTTATTAATATTTTACTTTTCAACAAGCATAAAGGAAAAAATAGAATTTTTTTTTCTTTAATGTTCCTAGTATGTTACATCATAGTTAAAAATATGTCAAAGTCATCGCATTTCGATTATTGCCTTTTGTAAATGCTGGTTATAATGTAACTTAATAGATGCTTTATAAGTTGGTAAAGATTGGCCTGGATTAAAACTAATAATATACATTGAATACTTTTACAAATATGTAATTGCTATCCGACTATTAATCTTTTAAGGCGAAACTTATCGCATGTGTTAATGAAATAATATCTTATTTTTATGTTAAGTTATTTTCACGAATTTTTTAAAAATATTACATTCATTTTTTTTGTTTTGATTAATAATAACATATACATATGTAATAATGCTCCTGAAAAATATTCTAACGCAGTTCCACGCTGGGATTAATGATAACATGTACGGAATAATAATGTTACATCTGTCAACAAAATGAAAAATATGAATATTCTAACGCGATATGTTTAAAAGATACATAAATATTTTAACATGAGAAATTATTAGACTATAGATAGAACATTAATATTAAGCTTATTTGTTTTTAAACTAACATATTAACAAATTTGTTTCTGTTTATAATATGAGCAGTTTAACTGCAGAACCTGCAGATGTAACGAATAAAAGTTGTTATTTTACTAAATGGAACACAAGCTCTGTGATTTGAACTCTAACAATATTCAACACAGGTTTATTTAGGAGCATTAGAATTATAAGCTAAACATTAAAAGAATTTAATTATAGATAGTGTAAAGAACATAACAAATACATTACATAAAATTAGTAAAATACACGTCAAACACTATTTCGAACTTACCTCGACCATTGCAAAAATAATGGCTAACATGGCGACTATCATTGAACTCTCCCGCTAAGACGCTGTTTTTCCACCTTCTTCCTGATTGGTTCTTCTCTCTCAGCCGTTTTAAGCCACGTGATCACACGCTACGGATAAAATCTAAGCAAAAACTTCTTGAAAAAATTCCTGTAGAGTTTACAGTTTCGTTTGGTTCTGTGTTCGTTACAGGTATTTCCTTCGTAATTGTTCGCATTTCTGTAACTATACAAGACTTTTGTCTGAAAACTTCGAGGTTTTTTTTTTACAGTGAAACACGCAGATCAAAGAACACTGAGTGATTTGATCAGGTATTCCCCGAATCGAGCCGGATCGGGAAACGCGCCGCGCATATCAACAGCTCGTTACTCGAGTCAATGCTCCTATTTAGAGACGAATTTTTCGTTCATACTCTCCTCGTATCTCGAATTTCTCATACATAGAAGTGCTCGTATCCCGAGGTTCCACTGTACGCAGTTTTTCAATGTCGTATAGCCTTACCTCGGTCGGGTGGTAAAATCAGTGGACAGTGGTACAGTGGTAGTTCGAATTGGGTTCAGATCCCTAGCTGCATGGAGGTTTTCATCTTTTCCGCCTTTGTAACGTGAATATGATCCAGTTTCCCTTAAAAATGCTTCTGCGAATGTATCCTTTCCCTTAGGCAGATAGCTCTTGTGTACTTTGCAGTAATCCAAATAATCTATTACAGTATATGCTTTTAGAAATCTACAACTTTTGCAGCTGAAGGAACTAGATAGATTCCTGATTTATATTTAACACTGTATCGGGAATTCTAAAAATTGTGTGATTATATTTTCTAATTTTACGTGACGTAAGCGACATTTAACATTAAATATGTGAAATTCAGACTAGTAACAACCAGTGAAGATGATAATATGTTTTTAACAAACTGATATAAGAACGCTGCAATATTATAACCGTCTACCAGTAACAACAGTCTCAATTCGAGTAACATTTTGAAGTAGTACCCTTTTCTTAATGCAAAATCATTATTTAAACAAACACCTTTATCTTACACATGCACTTAATGAAATTCTTACCAAGTTCCCGTAGGATTGCCGAGTCCATACACTTGGGAAACTTAAAAGAATAGTTAACAGCAGAGAGTTTGCTCGTTTCACAGCATGATTAAAAAGAATTTTTAATCTACAGAATCTCTAGGAAACGTGTACAGGTAGCATTATTTTCATATATTACTTTGACATTTTAGAGAGTATATCTAAAGCATAGGTATTCAATAATATAACGGATATCTCTCCTATGTTAGCAATTTAGTTTTATATGTATTCACTTTAGAAATGTTCATCAAGACTGAAATTGCTTTAAATACGCATTTTATATGAAATCATGGTTTAAACATTTGTACATTTTAATTTTCATGTTTTGCAGGATGAATTAAAAATGGCAATGGATTTAATAGGAGAATCTGTGACGGAAGTGCAGCTAGATAATATGTTAAAAGTAACGGATATAGACAACGATGGCAGAATAAATTATGAAGGTAATTGTTTCTTATTTTCAGTATTTCTGACTGTTGAATGTTGATACCGTAACAATCTAAAATATTTTTACATATGCCTCAAACGTTTTTAATTGTATTTTCTTCAATTCACGAATCATCACCTTCATTTTATGCGATATTCTTTAATGTTTAAAACCTTCTCAGAAAACGCCAGTAGAACGTTTGAAATATAAGAAGTTATTGCATAGTCACCTCTGAGGTAACGTCTATTAGAAAGTCCACATCTGATTCAGAACACCTGCCATTCTTGGAAGCACTGACAAAACGCGTTTTCTTAATCTGTCATAAGACTGGTCATCTCGTTGTTTTGGATAGCTTGAAATATCTCAAAACGTTGACCCCCGTACATCCATCTTGATAACAGTATAATATTCTAGCTAAAATAGAGTTCTGTGAAAGCTAGAATACTGAAGACCTATGTAGCGGTTACTTGCTGAGTTCTTGTATGTATGTAAAATTCCGGAGAAGGGTTAAAATACCCTTTTAATTCGAACTCAAAATATATATTTACGGGTGGCCCCTCTTGGGCGTATAAGAAGCATCCACTTGAGCTTTAACTCAAAATAGAAAATATAAAACTAATCTATTAATGGATAAATTTTTCACTATTCGAAGTTGCACAGAATAAAACTTGTAGAGCTGGCTCTTAATTAAGGATAATCTTCGTATACTAGCAAGCACGTATTTAAGGACGACTGTAGAATAGCAAGCTTTAGCTAACAGCAACAACGTGGCTGAAAGGCAGAATAAACTCTGCTACTGAAATAACGCAGACTTGAGCTTAAAAGATTCGTTTCTACCTTATTTGCACAAATCGTAATACTGAAAACTCATTCTGGCAAGAAAACGTAGGTGCGAAATTAGAAGGAAAAGCTTGTTCCAAAATAAAATTAACTATTAGCAAAGTAAATTAAACGCCTACAACAGAGAATAGGGAGTTTAAGAAAATGAGAAATCTGGCATATAAGCCGGTAATGGTATGAAAAAGATCAGCTTCTGACCAAAGAAACGTAAGCTTATTTTCTTATATTTCACTTTATTTAAAATGCGATATCATACCAAGTGGTCGAAAGATTCTCCCTTTACCGAAAGTTGAAAGAACTACGTTTTCCTTACAACAGAGCTTAAACTGCGCCGGAAGCTATCGGAGCTTGGCTCCAGTCCTTCTTAAAACCCTCTAAGCGGCAAGGCCGTATATATACGGCATAGAAATATTTATTGTGATATCTGTAAGAACGTATATATACGTGTATATTAAAATATGTCAATGAAATTAAGGAAATATATCAAAAGAAAACAAATCCAGGTATGAAATACCAGGAGAGATTTTACATTAAAATCAAAAAAATAATTTGTTCTCATAGTAGTTTTGGGAAATTTGTGCTTTCTTAGCAAAAATCCTGGCCGCCTAGAGGGTTAATTTTCGATATGAAACATAATTTTCACCAGAGTGCACTTGAGCTCTAAATAAGGGGGTTTCGACACTTCTTTTAAGTAACTGAACCACAATTTTAGCAGCAAACTCTTTTGATCTCAAAAATTTTATTTTTAATACAATAAGCCTCAAAAATCGATTCTAACATATCCCTATCTTTCTCTGGGAAACAAACGAAGATTGATACTTTTAAGGAAATAAAAGTTCCCATCCACGTGTGAAAGGCCTAATCTCCTAAGAGTGCAGTAAATTTGTGAGAGGGGTAAATGCTTCGTTCCACAAAGTGCTAAAAGTGACCATCCTGATTGTGCACGTCGACGCTAGTAACTTCCCATGGGAAACAGCACTTGCAGACTTTTCGGGACGATGTAAATAAATATGGAGCACTAAGCTATGACTTGTACACTCGCTATGACTTTATACTGAACATTGTGTTTGTTCTTAATGTTACATTTAAAAGCCTTTCATTACTCTTCATCTGTATTCCAACCTGCAGATCAACCCTCAGTTTTAAAGGAAAAATTTGCTCCTGTCACATTCTGCTTGACAGCTGGAAATAGATAGGCAAGGAAACGCGGTGGAAAGGGTTAGACTCTTTTCCATTTGTTTTCATGTCTAAACGTTTCCTTTAAAATTTTCCTCCATATTCTCATACTGTGTCTAACATTCTATCTTTTCTCATTATTGATGCTTTAATGGTTTTAGCATTTTTTCATTGATGTGCTTAAAGAGGAATTATCTGCGTTTTCGTAATCTTTTGAAACAGTATATTATACTAAATTTAGTGCTTAAATTCAGCTGAAGCCGACTGAGCTATTTTAGTTTTGGATGAAATTATACTTCCAGTTGAAAACCTAAATAAGACGAGGTCCCGATATTTTATTTGATTATTGTATATTTATCAAATATTTTAATAATTTGGCAAATTTTTATTTATCTCTTTACATTTTATTGAATTTTAATTGATTAAATATTTTATTATTAATTATTTTATCAGTTATTTTGTTTATTTGTTTTAGTTCCTCTTCCCTGGCAGCCTTTCCATAGAGCTCCGAATCATCTTAATTTTAGAAATTAAGCCATGCAATACGGTATGAACAATGCTGTCCCCCCCTCAGGATAACACTTCTTGCATTTCTTCTATAGAGAATACTCTATAGCTCACTAACAGCCAAATTCAATTATTATAAGTTTCAAAAACGTTGTACGGGAACGAACAGAAGAAAATCAGCTTTGTCCTGTCTGAGTTCGAACTACGAATTTTCCACTTGCGAGCTGCACGTGTTATTACTTATGCAGTGAGAGCATGCGCAGAGAAATTCAATAAATTTTATACGGTTATAAAGACATTAGGTTTTTTTTTTTTTTTTTTTTTTTTTTTTTTTTTTTGAAGCAGGCAAGATGAAAAATATGCAACGCCTTCGCCGGGAATCGAACCGCGGACCTCTCAATTACGCGCTGAGTGTGCAGACCACTACACCACGAAGGCTCGCGAAGAAGGCGGGAGAAATATCTTATACCATGATATAATTTTCCTGTGCACGTTTTGAAAAAAGTATTAATAAAGTATTTTTAGCTGTTAGAGATCAATGAAAATTTTCCGGGCATCAAAGAAACAAATTTATATGTATTGCTTGTTGTTAATTTTATTTATTGTCCTTCGTGTAGAGTTTTCATTAAAAGCTAATCACTGTATTTTAGAAACCTCTTTTAAATAAATGTGGACCACCATTGGCCGAAATGTTAAGAGTAATGCTAAGTACTGGTAGTTCAACTCGGGTTTGAATCCAGGTTAACAATCTAGACATGTGTGCGATTTTCGTGGTTTTCCTTACAAATACTCTGATTAAGAGCTAGGTTTCCTCATAAAGTACTTCACGAAGGCATCCTCCGATTAGGAAGTAACCCTTGTTAGCTTGTAAGTCCAGGATATATATGTAAGAATTTTACAAAAACGATGAAAGTCTTCTTTCTAAATACTGAGTTTTTTCTGACAATATGAGAAACATTCTAAGAACTCAAAATGCCTGTCCAATTCCATAAACCAAGCTTTAGCCAATACCAGCCTTGTGTTATCTGGATAGGCTCATTAAATTTAATTCTTCAAATATTATTCAACATGCTTCTTTCTTTGCCTAACTGATCTCTTAAAATCTGGCTTTGCAAACGTTTATTTCGTATTATATAATTTTAATGTTAACTAATTTAAACTTCGACGATAAAGTAAAAAAAGATATTTAAATTATGTTAGTGTTTACTGATAAAAAAATGATATCTCTACTAGCTTTACACAAAGATCAGGTGAAGCTATTGCAAATGAAACAGGAATAATGTTTTGAATCTTAACATTTAGTATACACTACAAGTGCGGCCTTGCTTTTTCTTTTAACAGGAAAATGAATTAACATTAATTGTGTTAATCATTGTGAACTGAAAGTTATAAAGAAATTAGGCACACATTCAAAAAAGAAATTTAAAATTATGCTTTTGGCAATTTTGTTATTTGTGATTTTAATCGTTTTCTTTATCGTATAAGCCAATTTATGTTTCTAAGATTCTACTTTTATGTGAAATAATGCTACTTTTATGTAACATACTTCATTTTTGAACATTTAGAAAGCTTTCTGAAAAATGAAAAAAAAAAAAAAAAAAAAAAAAAAAAAGATCACTTTTAATATTTTTTGCATACTGATTGCTCGATTTCATTTCAGAATTCGTTAAAATTCTGCTGTGAAGATATCGATTAGAATCTCTTCGTCATCAGATTTTGTTTCACGAGAAGTTGAAGAATGTTTTTACGATCACATTTTGTGCTTTGTTTTTTATATGGAATCTGCGTTTTCTTACTTGCGCAAGTCACGAACAATGCAATCTCTGTTCATATTTGAAATATATGTAAATAAGTCTACAGTGATCCTCAGTCTGAAAAGGATGGTGAAGATATTACCTGTCGATAGGACCTGAGAAGAGTTTTTTGTGTATAATCGATGTAAGTGGAACAATTAGCATCTAATATGGGCCTAAAAATACAAATTAAGCTTCTAATAAGGCTGTTTGTTAAAAGTTTACTTATTCTTGAAATAAATTAATGTTCTCAAACGCTTATTAAACACAGCTGTGATATTTTAGAAGTTGAAACTAATGTAAAACTTTGATAATTTTTGTTTTATCAAAAGTGATATAAAGAGGAGAGTAAAAATGTGAAATTTTGAGGAAAGAAGACAAAATATTATGAAAACGAAAATTTAATAATTTCATTTTTTTTATCATAAGACCTACATGAAACGCTGTTTGACGTTTTCTCGAGGCTTTTAATTTGATTTTAAGTAATGTGATCATTCTGAAAAATATGCCTTTCAGCATTTTGGGGAAATACGGCTTTAATATATGACATAAATTTGTTATCATAAGAGATTTTGAAATATCCATTTCTTAAAGAATAGTAATATTTTATTGACTATTTCTTTCATGCAATAACGTTGCTTTTATCAGTATTATTTAGAGAACTTTTTATATTGATTATTTCTTAAATAATTAATTACATTTGTAATACAATGTAATGAATGAGCTTTGATGTAATTAGTAAAGGTGAAGATCTCAGTTTAAGAAATGATCTCTACTAAGAATATATTTTTGTAACTCGATACACGTGATCAAAGTATATAATGTATCTCATGTAACATGCAATTTTATTATAATAACTTGGTAAAATCTTTCATCGAAAGGTAAGCGCTGTGTTATGTGTGTTAATTATCTAATTATATTTATAAAGCTAATTGATAGAAAATGTTATAATACTTATTCTGTTCTTTGTAACAAACTTTATTTGAATTTGATTCACAAAAGTAGTTCCTTAATGTGTAATAAAAGACGTATGTATGATAATTTATAAAATAAAGACATAAAAGGAAACAAGTTGCGGTATGTGTTTGCTGTCTTTTATTTATGTATTATTTGTTTGTTTATTGAGAGATTTATACAGAAACTTTCCGCAAAGAAATTTTGAATAAAATTTTTAAAAATACCAAAAATTGCTTCTGTCATATAAAGTGACTAAAATTCTTCTTTTAAAAAGCTAACTTGTCTCCACATATGATGCATTACCTTATTTCAAAGGAATTATTGCTGGTCTTAAAGCAATTGTAACATTGATGAACTGAGTCAAAAAAGCCCGTCTGGTATACTACATATTAGGTACATGTTAGGTACTGTAAAGAAACGAAAAGTTACATATTAGGTACTGTAGAGAAAAGACCGATTTAGCTCTCTTCAGTTCATAGAGTCAGAGGAAGTATAATCTTTCAGACAATTTTCCAGCGGACCGAAGACAAAAAAAGTTGTACATCAAGAGATCTAAACTAGAGAAAGGAAGCTGCAAGATGCCATACTGGAGTCTCTTATTTTGTTAATCTGGATCAAAACTCGCTGTTTCACATTAGAAACACTGAGTTTAAATGCCGTAGTTTCATATATTTACCTTATTGTTATTACAGTTTAGCGGTTCTTCAAAAATGCTACATACAACGTAAAATTCTTCTCTGTAATATTCTTAGTTGGAAAACTAAAATTCCTTTTATGTCTATTAACCTTATTCCCATGCATGTTGTTAATAGTGTTGTTAATAGTGTTTCTACAATACATTTTTCAGTTTTATTTACACTAACAGTTTCAATAAACGTAGAAACAAGCATTGTATATCTGCCGGTCGAATGAGTTGAATTATTGCTTGATTTTGCATTACGTTGTTACAGCGTAAGAGAGTTCTTTGCGATTGTTACTTGGTTGAAAGTGCATTAAATAGAAAGTTTGGAACAACCCACATAATTTGCATTGTGAGAAAGAATGTAGTTGGTACAGTTTGATGTTATTCTTTTCGTTACCGCCTTTTTACAATATTCCACACTTAACTCTAATGTTTAGCTCATTTAATGCATAACGTTTCAAGTGGAGAGTTTACACCTGAGAGATAAAATAATTGCCATCTGCGTGCGAAAGAGTAAAAAAAAAAATCGCAAGAATTAGTTCAAAGTTTGATATCCTATCCAAGTATGGCCGATGAAAAATACTCACTTCGTAAATTATTAATCCTTCAGCCGCAAAAATAAAAACATATTCAATGCTCAGTTTGTGGTCAGAGTCTTAATTAATGCCAAAACACCACATCACAGTGACTACCGACATTTAAAAATTGTAATAACTTTTAATGAGAAGAAAATTTCAAACCATGCTTCATCCAGCAATCCCGGGTGAGTAATTCAAGTGAGTAATGTTGAGTTTTCTAGTGCAAGTTAGAAGGTAGTAGAGTAGTGAGGTAGGGCAATGAGCTCAAGTGAGTAATGTTGAGTTTTCTACTGCAATTTAGAAGGTAGCGGAGTAATGAGGTACGGCTGTGAGTATGGAGATGAGTTCGGTACGGCAGTCGTAAAATTTTAAGTTTATATGTATTTAATAGCTACCACACCTGAATTACAGATTCAAATCTTTATACTGAATGCATTACTTTATGTGTAAAATGGGTTAAAAACCTATTTGGAGAATTATTTGTTTGCAAACTGTTGAAATGATTGGGTTTAAGCACTAAAAATTCGGTTAGCTTCTAAGCTGTATCATATTGCGTGAAATTACAAGCTATCTCACTAAATTGACAATTATTATACATATGCTCGTCGATTATTTATAAGGAAAATTAAATGATGTATTAATGTGCTTTATCTTAACCAAACAATTTGTCTCGTACTACAACTACAAACCCACATATTGTTAAAGAAACTAAAACTACCCGCATAGTTACGGTACGGGGGAAACTGAAACAGAACTTTCTTGTTCGGCTGATTAGCACAGTACTTTTTTTTAATTTGTTAATCCGCGGTTTCGACTATCCGTGGTCAAGAAAAATTACAATAAGTTATCAAAATTAGTGCTAACATTTTGAGCAGTTTATTGTTACTTGCATGTTTGTTGTTCTATTTTCGTAGTTTTATTCGCTATTCGATTTTCAGTTTTCTCTTGCCTCTTCACATTAGAACCCTTGAGATGTTTCCACACATGTATGAAGAAAGTTATTAAATTATTGTCATAAATTGTGTCGAAGCAGAAAAGAAAAAATATCAAGAATCCCGCGGCTGAATTAGGTATTAAGCAGTATAAGCATAAGTTTAGGATACCAAAGCGGAAGGTCCATAACAATATTTTTTTCCGGAAATATTATTAAATGTTCACTGCCCTCCTTTTTTCTCCATTTTTGTGCCACAATGTGTAAGGAAAGTGAAACAGTGGACAATCTTGACCTAAACATACGCCAGCAAATAGGCTTAATCAAGCTTTCCCTTTTTTTTTTTTTTTTTTTCAGGATCCGTATTTTAAAAGATTTTCCTTTCCCCGAAATGAAAGGCAATTATATGTTTAAAAATTTTTACGAATAATTTTTAATGAGAAAATGCCTAGAGCAGATTTAACAAGAGTTTGCAATAGCAATAGCAAAAACTGTTATTCAAAGTTTTTTTTTTTTTTTCCATTAATGGCGGGTACAAGTCATTGGCCACTTCCAAAGACAGAAGCGGTGGTCATTTGCCTGTGGAAGCACCTAATAGGTGGTCACCGTTACCTCCTATGAAGGATTGCTTTGGTTTGGTTTATTTAATTATGGCAAAGCACACTAGGGCTATCTGCCTAAGGGGAGGGATGCCTTCGTGGAGGACTTTTTAAGGGAAACTGGCTCGTATGCACGTTACACAAGGCGAAAACCACGAAAACGCCCATGCAGCCAGCCCGTTCGCGGGATTCGAACCTCGGACCGAACTACCAGTGTTCAGCGACTTTACCGCTCGGCCGCTGGTGGGCCCTCCTATGAAGAAACAACAATTTACATCCATGCCTTCCCGGGATTCAAACCCGCGCCCTTCCGTACGGCAATCGGCGTCACTAACCGACTTTCCTGTCTATAATCGAAAGTAGGAAGCAAGAACAGCAAAGGCTTGTCGACCTAGAACAAATAAATCTTGAAAGGTCAAAGAATGAACTAAAATTCGCTAAGCGTACAACCGAAACAAAACTCGATGATGTAAGTGAAAGGGAAACAAAATCAGAGTCGCTAGATAATTAATAAAAAGCATCAATAAACTTAAACTGTTAAAAATTCCTATATGTCTTGACGGTTAGGGTTTTTTCTTTTCGTCATTACAACGAGCTCTTATTACTAAAAATACCTCAGAGAACTATAAAGCAAAAATTGTGTTAAATATATTAAGAGATAAAGCTTCGAAGTTGTTAAATATATTAGGAGAGGAAGCATTGTATGATAAGGATATTGCAAATTATGAATAAATAAAAGTTTTTAAAGCGTTTGAAAGTCAATAGTATTTTTGAAGTCAATAGTTTTGAAAGATTTTTCAGACAACTTCATTTTTGTGTTTGGAAAACTCGATTTTTCTATACTATCAAGCAACTATGAAGCAGAAAACTATCAAGCAACTGCATGAAGCTCATGCACAGTTTGCTTTTACGCCTAGTAACTATTTGTGATTGTTATTTAAAGATAAGAAGTGTATCTGGCTTCTACTTGTAGACTCTCAAACAACTTAAAGGTTCTGACAGATTACATCAAATATTAGACAAGGAGACAGCTTCTTAAAATATGGCAAGTTGGTAAGTTGTTTTCACCAAGTGAGTTAGGTAAAGAAATTGGTTTATTTTTCATATCAATAGGAAAAATTCCTTACTGAGAATTCTCATATTAGTCTAAAATATTGTATCTCAACAAATGAAGCTTAAGTGTTTTTGTTGGATGTTAAAACAGTAAACTGTGTTTTACACCGTGGCAATCACGGTCTAGTAAATTGTCCATTTTATTTAAAATTACTTATATAAGAAAATGTCAAAGTTGTGAAATGTCAATGTCATAACACAATTAAGAGGCAATCAGCCTAGTGCGCCCTTTACCAATATATTATAAGTAGAGTGTCTTTAATGATGAGTTGAATCCAGTAAGATGGAACGTACTTTTGCACCTAGTGCAGAGTCTCTAGAAGAGAAGTAAACGTGGCCCCACGATGTGGAGGATTCGCAGCTTGAGGATTTCTGCCGCTCGGCTATTCTTGTCTTGAGAGAAGCTGCGAATTAATCTTGATCTGCAAAGTTCAAAATCATCTCAATGGCTTGAAAAGCTAGGCAAAGTTTCTGCATATTTGATTTAGCTGATTTAATTCTCTGAACTATTGTGGTTATTGATTTCATGAGATAAAGGGTTTTCTGATCTTTGAAAAGGTTAATGATTTCTGCTAAATTTTCCTGCGGGGTTTTCTGCTTAACTTTGTCACTGTAAAGGATTTTAGTCATTTATTGATTAGTTTGGCCTGAAGCTTGTATGAATTCGGGCAAGTCATCTTTAGTAGGAATTTCTTGTGGTTTTTCTATCTTCTCTAAACGATTGAATCTTTTTCTGTATACCTTACAACCACGATAAGAAGAAACGTGATTTTCGTGACAGTAAATGCAGGTTGCTTTTAATTTACATGTATTGGATCTGTGATTTGTCCCTACTTACAGCACCTGACCTTTTTAAAGCAGTTATTTTGGGAGTGCCCGAACTTCTGGCAATTGGACGTTTTCTGAGCTGATATTTTTCTATTGTGATATTGAATCCGAACATATTGTTTAATTGATGAATTTGCTCTCCTGCAGAATTTCTTTTTAGTTCAAGGAAAAATATAGGTAAACGAATAATTTGGTCTTCTGCTTTCTTCGTGAATTGCTTTACTTTAATTCTAGGGAAGCTTCTGAGTTCTAAGTCTGCGTGAATTGCTTGCTCTGTGTAGGATCTTGGGATATTCTTAAGCATAACTTTAATTGAAGAGGCTGAGGACATTTGGTACGTATGAAAACTAATCTGTGCTTTCTGGAATTCATCAACTGTAGCTTTAT